GGGGGGGGGGGGGGGGATTTGTAAAGAAAACAGCAAAAGTTTTATTGAGTTATCCAAAACAAATTGGGTTTTAGATATACTTTAACACCTTTTGGCATAGTGAGTGTGTGAGGATAAGTGGTGCAATCCTTCACTGAAGACATGATATGACAGGTAGACTCTGGCAGACCTACCAACTACTTTTGGTGTGTTGTCACGTAGCTTGAAATTTGAGACCTGAAACCAGGTCAGGCATTCTGCTGGTACTTACTTGTCTCCTATCCTGTGCTAGAGCTTCATAACAATTCTGGGAATAGCTCAGATTTGTTGGCCAAAGTAGCAACCAGCCAAGTAAAAGTTTCCCGGTTCCCAAGTCTTCTATAGTGGATCACTTTCTCAGCTTTCTGGTTGCAAATGCCAATTTGGTGGCTTGTCCCCACCAACACAACAGCCAGTGCCGGCACAAGGTAAAGTCCAATACCTTTTTCCAGGACAAACTGCATGAAGTCCATCTGAGACCCCCTCTACTGATGCATTTCACCCACCACTGGGCTTCATTTGCATGCAGTTTGTCCTGGAATAGTAAAGTCTTCCAAACATTGGCCTTCCCAGTGTGCTGCCGGCTTTTTTTCTCTCAAAGTAACGGCCAGCCATTAGAGCTTACAGTCTATTAACTCTTCTAGGAAAGCTTTTGTCTCTCAGCCCTCACATATGTCTTTGTTTATTCCAGGATTGTGACCGTGAAGGAGACTCGGTTGACGTCGCTTGTGGCCAATGTATTGGTGGGCCTCTCCCTTTTCCTCCTGCCGCTCCCACTACAGTGGATCCCCAAACCAGTCCTGTATGGGCTCTTCCTGTACATCGCCCTGACCTCCATTGACGGCAGCCAGCTCTTCGAGCGGGTGGCGCTACTGTTGAAAGAGCAGGTAGGTGGAGGGCGACACGTGGGCAGGAAGTTCTGCAGGTATAGAATCAGCAAGCAATTTCCCCAGGAAATGGTCTTATTGTGTATATCACTCACACCGAGCACATCAAAGACACCATTGTCTAATGAGCAGGTTGTTGGTTATGACTGGATGTATATCACAGAGCTGTGACCTTCCTGTCTGGGTGAAAGGAGCAAAGACTGCTTAGTGCCAAGCAGCATGATATGTATACACCGTGTCACTGCTGTATATATTCTATAAACTGTATTGTCACAAGTCTGTCATTTGACTTAAACAGAACAATGAAGGTAATCCTTTGTTAGGTTTGAATTTTTATAATGTAATTCCCCATCTTTATAGGGATTTTCAGATAAAGACATGCATTAAATTGCCAAATGTCTGTCCACACCTGACCATCTATGTGAGCTTGTTGGGTATCCTATTCCAAAACCTGGGTATAATATAGAGGTGGCTTCCATTGGGAGCCTACCATCCTCTGGGAAGACTTTCCACAAGATTTTGGAGTGTGTCTGCGGGAATATGTGCCAATTCAGGCAAAAGGCCACAGGTACTGATGTTAGATGAGAAGACCTGGCTGGCAATCAGAATTCCAGTGCGTCCCCGAAGTGTTCAGTAGGGTTAAGGTCAGGGTTCTGTGAAGGCCACTTGAGTTCCTGCACACCAAACTCATCCAACCATGTCTTTATGGAGTTGACTTTGTACACAGTGTGGGCACAGTTGTCAGTCATTCTGGAGCAGAAAAGGGCCTTCACCAAACTGTTAGCACAAGGTGGGTAGGAAAAGCAAGTGGTCTAAAATGTCCTTGTATGCTGTAGCATTAACAGTCCCCTTGACTGGCAACACCTGAACTCATTAATTTGCAGTGGTGTTCAAATATCTTTGAACATGTAGTTTATTTTAAGATGGGTTGGCAACAATATTATTTCGGTAGGCGAATCCTGACTTTGGCCATGCCTGTCTGAGAAAAGAGTTTAGAAAAGCATCCCTACCTTTGCCCTCCTGATAGAAGTAGCTCCACTCATTTCCTCCCTGCTACATTCACTGGCTTAGATTTGTTCAATTAATAAAGACAATATTGGATACTTTGTGTTGCCTGTTATTAGACAAGAACGTTTTAAAAGGTTGACACATACACTTAGCCCTCGTTCACACCTGACCGTTTTGTAGCGCGTTCTACGCTCGACGAACGCTCTACAAAACGGTCAAAAATATAAATTGCATTGTAGTCAATGGCCTCGTTCCCACCTTGGCGTATTTCCGCCCGTCCCTAACGCCCTACAAAACGGCCCACGCCTGAAAAGGTCCAGGTACTACTTTGGGCCGTTTTGTAGGGCGTTTTCCATTGGGATACAGCCAAGTAGCCTTCGGAATCGCGCGACGGTCGCGGTAAAAAGAAACGCGCGACAGGCACGCATATGCAATACGCCTAGGTGTGAACGAGGGCTTAAAGCTGGGTTCACACCTAGGCGTATTGAATATGCGCGTTTCGCGGCACGCGTTGTTACCGCGATTCGCGGTAAAAAAACGCGCGCCAAACGTGCGTTTCCGAGGGCTACTTGGCTGTATCCCAATGGAAACGCGAGACCAAAACGCCCCAAAGAAGTACATCTACTTCTTTGGGCGTAGGCCGTTTTGTAGTGCGTTCAGACGGGCTGAAATACGGAAAGGTGGAACCATACCCATAGAAAACAATGGGATTTTCAAGTTTGTACGTTTTGTAGAGCGTTCATAGAGCGTTGAACGCGCTACAACACGGAAAAGTGTGAACCAGGCCTAAAGGAGACCTTCAGGCTGCCACTGCTGACCTCTCCTTTCAAAAATGTGAGTTTTTGTCTGTTATGGTGAACCTCTGGCTTGTATATCTTGAGTCACTGACCTGGAGTATGCAGATTTTGATTTTGACCTGCCCTTCCTCCAGGTGCTTGTTCCAGGTCAGTTACTGGAAAGACTTAAAGCCAGAGGAAATTGGGCTTTTAGCACTTCAGAAGGTCAGCAGTTGCATTCCTATGTTTCTTTAATGATCGGTTTACTCGATGCCCGGCTTCCTGATTGGGCAGAAAACCGTCTCCATGCTGTTTGGCCGGCTTCATGCTGATCAGCCGGCTTCCCAGCCAATCGGCATGGAACCGACTTCCCAGCCAAACAGCATGGAGCCAGCTTCCCAGCCAGCCAGGAAACCGGAGGCAGGTCCTTACCCACCGCCTGGCTTCCTGATTGGCCCGGGAAGCCAGCTCAGTGTTCCCTCGCGTCACTGCTGGTCAGAAGAAATCTCCCTCTGACCGGAAGTTCCGGTATTGGGGTAAGTACAAGAGTTGGTATCAATGCATCCCTAGTTCCCTCCTCTGCTGGTTGACAGCAGGCAGGTGCAATAGCAAGCCTGCTATTGGCTATTGCAATCTAAAATAACCAAAAGCATGCTGGCTATTGCTCCAAGCCACTGCATGCTGTGTGTACATCAGCAGGTAACTGTCATTCCCCAGCTAAAACTATTGAAGTGGCAAAGTAGGAGTACTCGCCCAAATACTCGGTATCTGCTAGTATCGGTGCATCCCTACTTTAAAGTTTATTCCAGACATGCCGTATAATCCCTGCACAGCAGCACTTTAGTGTAAATAGGTAGAGGGAGGGTGGGAGTAGATAGCAAACTGAGCAGAGAGACAACATCATCAGTGTGCTGCTGCTCCTATATTGTCCAATCAGCAGCCATGGGTAAGTCTTGACCAGTGTTCTTGACCCAGCTGTGCTGCTGCTACATGGAATGTCCGTTATCTGGCATTACTCTTTCCCTGATCTGCAGAACAAAACTGACTGCACACCATTGCAAATCCTTTGGCGGCTACAATTGATTCAGTATTTCAACTGCACATGTATCTGCTTGCTCAGAGTTCAGCTTGAATCCATTAGGAAGTCTATTGATTGCTTTTAGGCTGCTGTGTCATCAGAGTGTGGCAGCTGGATGGAGTTTCCTGGCTGCCTGTACCCTGGAATCCTCTTGCTCAGTACATTTTGCTGTGTCACTATCTGGCTCTCCTCCAGTTCCTGTCCTCCAGAAGGGAAGTCACATGGGTCACTGTAGTCATAAATCCTATCTGATAGCATTGCCTGCATCCTCCCAATACTGTTCTGCAGGTTAACTCTCTACTGACCAATGCTGTGCTTCTCCAACTGAATTAAACATTACCTCCGGGCAGCAAATAAAAGCAACCTATGAAACATTGTAATATGATCTATTGCAATCAGATTCAGCAGTCTATTCACAGTGTTTTGAGGCAGTGTCACATGATTCTTTGCTCTGTAATAGTCTGTGAACTACAGTGGGCAATTCTAGGAATCAGGCAGCACACTGGCCTACTTTTGCAGACTACCGGGGCCATACATTCCAAAAACTTATCAGGGATTAAACTCGGGGCTCATTTCCTGTCCTGAGACCAGAGGGATGGGAAGCCACAGCAAGCAATAGAGACCTGACATTTACTTCACCCATCTCCATCATTGGTAAGCCCGCATTGCTACAAAAATGTATGACCGATTGGCATTGGGGATACTTTTGATGGGAGCGCAGCATTCTAAATTGGATTGTTTGACTTCCAGATATACTCAGGGCTTTGTTGGCCTTGCCGGGGATGCTGAGTCTCAGTGTAGGTTGGGGCAGACCACATGAAGGGTCTGACCTGCCAACATTTATTCAGAAAGTCATTCTGTGGACTGCAATATTGCTGCATCAGCACAAAGAGTCCCGAGATAAAACGCGGCTGGCTAATTGCTCATTTACCGCATGCTGGGCTGCCGGGTTATTAGTCGAAGTTCTGAACTCCCCTTGATCACTGTAGACTTGTAAGGGAGGGAGCATAAGTGTACAGCACTTGTTAACCCCTATGTGGCAGGCCTGGCAAGCAGCTAGAGAGGTCAGTGATGACTTGTTTCAAAGCTCTTTTACTGCTGCACTTCTAAGTTTTATCAGTGGCTGAATCTTTACATGAAGGTTTATTATACTTAAAGCGTGTTGACTAAAACTCACCAACATACAGTATTTGCGAACAGGGACACACACACAAAAATGCTCTGTCTAAAAATGTAATTCACAATAGAGATGCCCATGCATGCTCATGTATTTTATGGCGCTCTATCTCAAGGCCATTCAGTCTGGTTGCGTTGTTCTGTATACATGATGTCACTTTGTGTTTTTCCTGTAGACGGCGTACCCTCCGACCCATTACATCAGACGAGTCCCGCAGAGGAAGATTCACTACTTCACCGGCCTCCAGGTCCTCCAGCTAGTCATCTTATGTGGCTTCGGCATGTCGCCTCTCCCTTATATGAAGATGATTTTCCCTTTGATCATGATTGGCATGATTCCAATCAGGTAAAAAACTATTTCTTCCCCAAAGGGCCATTAACATTTGTACAAGAGACATTCATACAAAATTAGCTAGGATAGGCGCATTGTTTTATTTGTTACATTGGTTTAATAAATATCATGCTCAGTTTTTATGGCTGACAAATGTCAAATGACTTACGGAGTTAGTTATCTGGTAGTTAGTTTCCAGGACAGCATACACGAAGCGCCATCCTGGAAGATGATTTAGGACATTCGCAGTTAAGATACCCAATAACACCAGGAATCTTTCAGGGTGGCACTTATTCATCCTCTCATGCATGCTGTCATGGAAGATGATTTTGGAAAATCATTTTTAACACTATAATGCTCTTTACAAGATGTAGCCTGCTGAATTCTACTGATAAAGAGATGGACGCCGGCACTCCAAAGCAAATCCAGTACATCTAGGTTGAACTCGATGGACATGTGTCTTTTTTTCAACCTGACTAACTATGTAACTATGTCTATTTATTCACGTACATGTTGCATAGCAAAAACACTCAGTGCAACGTTTTGTTTGCCTGATGGAGGGGATCCTGCGAGACCCCAAAACGTTGCACTGAGTGTTTTTGCTGTGCAACGTGTACGTGAATAAATAGACGTTCTTGATTTGCTTTGGAGTGCCGGCGTCCATCTCTTTAGCTGTATATTTAGGCGGTAGACATCCGCCGCACCCATTTCTTCACTGATGGAACAGCAGTTCTGAGTGCAATGGGTATGTGGACTTTAATTTGCTGAATTCTACTGTCACAATGCCTCTCTCTGCATGAGCCGCCAGGTCTGTTTGTAAAGAAACCTGTGTTTGATCACCATACCATGGTGGCTATACGGTTGGTAACCCCGCAGATTGGTAAAAGAGACCTGGAGCCATCTTCCAACATCGTGGCTTGTGAACTGGAAACACAGTCTGGTCCATTTACCGGTTCGAACCTGGAACTTTACATAATGTTTTCAAAGCACGGGGTACATGTGTGAGAAAATCAGTCGCCAGATTGAAGGAGCCCTCTAGTCAGGAAAACAGAAATTCAAGTGATCAATTTTAATTGAAAAAAAAAAAAAAAAAACTGGCACTGTTCAATTGACTGACCAATGGCATGCCCCATATGCGGCTGATTTATTCCTGGCGGGCAACCAATTAGACTGCACATCTCACTGTTGTTATGTCATCCAGGTGACAAGTTGTCTCTGTTATTGCCAGGATCCTCCCCACCTAGCAAAAGCAATCAGAGCCCATCACTCCCCCCACAAACAGTCAACGTGCCCCTGTCACTTAGGGAAAACTAAAACAAAAGCCCAATCTGTAAAGCAACACACTTGGTAAGACTTGCATATCCCTCAGCCTGCACCACCAATCACTCTCTCTACCAATGCTTGAAGACTCTTCACCAACCAACACATCAGATGAGCCATCTTCAGCTCTACACCGTTGTTCCTCCCACCAACTCCTACGTCACTATGGCCTTATTGGGGGCTGGCAGATGAAGCCACAGTGCTTAGCAGAGGAGCCAGCATCCAACACACCTGATGAGTCGAATGTAGAACGTAAGGTGGTGCAG